TTTAGAAAAATGTTACATTTAGGCCTAATTGTTTAATACTTTTATGTATAGTGTTACCCCATTGTGAAAGTATTTTGCCTTTTTTCTTTAGATACTGTGATTATTTGCGATTATTGTTCACAAGATTATGCCTGTATATTATTACTTTAGTATTTCAATAAGACCTCATAATTCACATTTATTTCTTGACATACTTTAAGAGAGAAAAATTGCATTTTTGCTTTTATACCAACATTTCAGACAATGTGTAAAATATTACAAGATTAAGGCCCTGCATACAGTCCAAAGCGATTGGATTTACTAAATATTTTTATAACCCCTTCACTACCAAGCACTTTTTGATTAAAAAGATATTAGCATAAAATGTTTTTGAATTCAGGGTGTATTGCTAGCATAAAACATAAAATATAAAAATATCATAACACAGCAATTTGTTTATGTATTGTTTTTCAGAAAAATGACTTAAAGGTAGGCAGACAATGTAATAGAGCAGCAGGAAATGCTAGCAGAATGCTTGGTTGTATAGGGAGAGGTATTAGCAGTAGAAATAGAGAAGAGCTCATGTCATTGTACAGAACACTGGTGAGACCTCACTTGGAGTATTGTACGCAGTACTGGAGACCGTATCTCCAGAAGGATATTGATACTTTTGAGAGAGTTCAGAGAAGGACTACTAAACTGGTTCATGGATTACAGGATAAATCTTACAAGGAAAGGTTAAAGGAACTTGACATGTATAGCTTGGAGGAAAGACAAGACGGGGGGATATGATAGAAACTTTTAAATACACAAAGGGAATCAACAAGTAAAGGAGAAGACTATATTAAAAAGAAGAAAAACTACCACAACAAGAGGACATAGTCTTACATTAGAGGGTCAAAGGTTTACAAATAATATCAGGAAGTGTTACTTTACTGAGAGGGTAATGGATGCATGGAATAGCCTTCCAGTTGAAGTGGTAGAAGTTAAGACATCAAAGGAGTTTAAGACTGCATGGAATAGGCATAATGCTATCCTAACTATAAGAGAAGGCCAGGGACTAATGAAAGTATTTAGAAAATTGGGCAGGCTAGATGGGCCGAATGGTTCTTATCTGCCGTCCCAATCTATGTTTCTCTATTTCTATGATCTTAACATGTATAGCTTGGAGGAAAGACGAGACAAGGAGGATATGATAGAAACATTTAAATATATAGTGGGAATCAACACAGTAAAGGAGAAGACCATATTTAAAAGAAGAAAAACTACCACAACAAGTCTTAAATTAGAGGGGCAAAGGTTTAAAAATAATATCAGGAAGTATTACTTTACTGAGAGGGTAGTGGAGGCATGGAATAGCCGTCCAGCTGAAGTGGTAGAGGTTAACACAGTAAAGGAGTTTAAGCATGCGTGGGATAGGCATAAGGCTATCCTAACTATAAGATAAGGCCAGGGACTAATGAAAGTATTTAGAAAATTGGGCAGACTAGATGGGCCGAATGGTTCTTATCTGTCGTCACATTCTCTGTTTTTAGTAAAACATTTAATTATGTAAATTTTAACTTTTTTCACTTACTCATTCAGCCTTTATAAAAATATTTGGAAAATGAAACGCTTAGTACACAGTTAGTATAACACAGAAATTGCAGATTTCTTGCATACAGTAGCTCTATAACTATGTGTAAGAACCCTGAAGCAATACTAGTAGAATAGCTTACTAAAAATGCCAATAGAATGTAAAAAGAATGTCTGCATTTGAGCACAATGTCCACATAAAGTAAATGGAATCAAATCGTATATTTCTAAAAAAAAAGGTGTTTAAACCTTCCATTTCTGGACTGCTAATGCAATGTAACACTGAAAATGTAAAGTCCATTCACTTTCCCCCTCTTATTTAAATAAATACATCATTACGAATTTCACCTTAAAATGAACAATGATGCAGCTCTGCCACAATATTTTTTTATATGAAATGTATGAAATATATCAGTGTTAACTTACCACATATATAACTATTACACACCTTAAAGAGCTTATGAACTATTAATGATAAGCAAATTAGGGATTGTGAAGAAGGTTCCAAAAAACTGCCTATAAATCAAATTATACTTCAAAATAGATAAATAGATAAATAAAATAAATATATACACAACTTAATTTTTAACAAAGGTCCTGATATTTAAAAAGAAAGTTACTTACCCCATACAATAAATATGATTATTTGTATCTATTGAGTATTTATTTACACCCATCACTGCT